AAAAAAAAAAAAAAAAAAAAAAAAAAAAAAAAAAAAGTCATATGGGTAGAGAGAGAACTGTTTAGCTTTGAGCACAGTTACGGTGACAATATGGTTTGCCCAAAATATAGGCTTCCTATTACTTTTTTAAAATTCTGATTGCAGACTGTCTTCCTTTATTCTACATATATCTCTTACCAGCAGCAGCAGCACTTCTTGGCCAATCACTAATACATTTTTTTTTTAACAAAATGTGCATACTCTACTATGAGAAACCAAATGCCAAGAGGAAATGTTTGTTTGTTTTTTGAATTTTAGGTTTATGGTGAACAGAATATTTTGAATTGTAAACTATTCAGAATACATTATAATTTTTGATAAACACATTTTCCTAATGCAACCCCAAGCCTCCTCATATTTATCTTGTTTTGTAATCTCTCCATTTTCCAACTCCTTACTGAACAAAATAACAGTAGTCAGAATTTGGCATATTTTTTACCTTCATTGGTATGTATAATTTAGTTGTTTCTGTTTTTAAGTACCTTGCAAATTAGGGCTCTGAATGTTTATGTATTTTCTATAAATCTTTTTTTTTATCTTAAAGATGACACATGTTGATGCCACCATTTTGTGATCCTCGTAGCAGAAGATAGTCCTACTGAGAAAATGAGCACTTTGATCATTCAGTCTTTGAACTTTAACCTTTGACTGGAAGTGACCTATAGGCAATGAAGACTACTTCCTTTGACTGCATTTTTACTAGTGTGCATTCTGGGCGCATGTTGATCGCTGGTTCAGTCCATGCAACTGACATGCTTTTATTAGTCATACAGTATTAATGCAGATGTCTGGAAAAGTCAGAATAATTCCATTTATTTTTATTTTAAGCTTTTGGGAAGAATTCCAGGTCTTCATGTATTGTGCAATAACAGTGAATTCCTTGGCGGTTTTGGTGCATCCATTGCCGGCAATGGACTTTGTACCAGGAAACGTTTTGATCCTGCCGCAAAAAAAACCAGATTGATGCATGATAGAGCTTATGAAATGTTTTAGATGTATTGGGATTATAAGCAAGGGATCCAACATTACTTCAAAAGCCACCCCATTCTTTTACATTTGGATTCTATGCACTGTGATCACAAAGCTAGCAGCATGACAACATGCTTAGCAAAAGGACTGTAATAAGATCATTGCATATTTATTAAATTGTTTATTTTCTGTCAAATCGTTTTAACATGGAAAGTTTTCAGGTGACATTGGCAGAGAGGTACAATGTTATCCCTATGGTGAAACAAATATACCTTTTTTTTTGTATATAGTTATTCATATCTCTGAAGCAAAGGTATGAGTAATTTAGGGTGGGAGTGATTTAATCAAGACTTTATTTTGGCGATAAGATGACAGTGATATAACTGAATTTGCTGCAGTCCATAACTGGGCTTGAAATCTGTATATTAGAG